GCTGAATAATATTCTCCCACATAGAGCCCAAGCATTGTCAGGAATTAGTGTGGGCCTGGTAAGACTTTCAACAACAATTCTGACACAGCCACCTGCTCCTCAGGGCTAGGAAGGTTTTATCTCTGTGAAAATACAGGCATTGGAGAATTTGATGTCAGGGCAGGAGAATGTTCCTGGCCTGTTACTGGTATAACACAGAGTAAATATCTCTCTTATAGTTCCAGTTTATTGTCTTCCCCAGTCATGTTCCCTAAGTAGAAGTTAAAATATACCAGTGAGGCATCAGAGAATATTTCACAGAAAACAAAACAAAAGGTGCTTTTGAGCATTAATTGTAACTCCTAAGTTCCTTCTCTACAGTCCTCAAAATTGTCACATTCTTTAACGTGGAAGCGATTTGGATTTGTAACTGTAAACATAACATTTACAGTAATTTCATTATTATATATAAATTTTGTACATAAATCAATGTAATGTTTTCATTAAACATTACTGTGAAGCATTTTGTACCTATGTGTGAGAGTGTGTGTGTGTGTATACATATATCTGAGCTGGTTGTGTAACCCTCTTTCACTGAGTAACTTAACAACCAACATGATTTGAAATTCTGCTTGCCTCTGCCTACAATAGGTGCCAAATAAATTTTCTCCCTCAAGTTTCCTCCTGAAAGGGTGGATACTATAAGGGTAGTTACTTCTGCACACTGTAATTAGAAGGGTAAGGTTAGGCTTTCTGGTTACTTCCCAATGTGGGCTAGTTTTGCCAGAGAGGCTTTTATTAGCCTAGCAGAATTTCTTTTGGTGCTAAATTTCTATGCTAGTAAAAATTCCTGTAAAAATTCTAGTATGCCAACACTAGAGTGATGAGGTTTTTTGTTGTTGTTGTTGGTTTGTTTTTTTTGCTAGGGTAGTTTATTTCACTCAGATACCCAGCACAAACTGTTCCAGAAAGTGTGAGTTTTTTTCTGCAATAAACTGCATCTGCACTAACAGCAGTTAACATTGCTTAGTATATAGCAAACCTCAGCCAAAAGGGATTTTGGACTATGACTTGATATTCTAGGATGGAGTGAGAGATGGCACTACATTTTTATTCTGTCATCTAGGAGAATTTTCAATTAAGTTCAGACAGTTCAGCTATAAAGCTATAAAATTTTAACTATAAAACTTTCTCAATTTTTCTTGCTTTAGATGTGCTTCAGTTACTGGCCAAGACAATGAGTATCTTGCTCTGACACAGCTTATGTCAACCAACTAAATTAGACTTTGTGAAAAAGACATTAACATTACACTTGAGACGTCTTAACAAAATAATGATAAACTTCAGTTGTGAAGAAGGTTAAACCTTTCATCAAGAGAAATTTTATAATCAAGTTAGTCAAGCTGTCCTGTCCATGATTAATGCACTATCTCCAAGAGAAAGACACTGCTGCAGATACAATTCATGAAATACTAACCACGTGATTCTAATTAAGATACAGGTTGTTGCATTAAGCAAATTAAGCTAGTTTAAGGAACTTATCCTTCCAAGTAGTTAATGAAATGGTATACCCTAAAATTTTCAATAAAAAATTATTCTGTTTCAGCTTTTAAATTTCATTGTGAAGAAAAAGAAATGCACTGACCCCTAAATAATCCCACTTTCCTATCTCAGTATTTGTACCTCTCTGCAGTACAAAGAAGCTCTCTTTCTACTTTCATAAAGAAAGGACAATATATAGAGTTAGTCTGAGTAGTAAAAGTACATGAGTAGTCAGGAGTACATGCCACTGATGGAAATAAAATTATTAAATCTCCATTTCTTAAGACTGGATGCCAAGCAAAAATTCTTACCTCATGCACAGATGGCTGGAACCTTCCCATCTGTTAGTAACTTCTGGCTTCCAACTCCTACAGGATCCTAACATCAGTCTTCTAAGCATATTAGCATGTGTGGGGAGTATTAAGAGTCAAAGAGATCCATGTTCTGGGTTTGCACTACTACCTGAGCACAGATATACCCTTGGGACTTTTCCTCAGTTTAGATGTGTTTGTGTGCATAAGACATTGAAAAATCAAAACCCACCAAAGAATCAGGAGTAGACTGAGATCTCAACTGGCTCCAGGGAATACTGAAACAGGAAACTAGTTTAAAGTTTAAACTAGTTTAAAATCCTGTTCTGTTGAACAGCACCTCTGGAATGGAATTTTCTCATGTTGTGCATACTGGTGTGGTGGTTGGTAATACACTGATATACACTGCTAGCAGTGTCAGAAATTACCTGAACAATAAAAGAGTATCATTCTTCACCAGGCATGTTTCCTTTCACGTTGAAAACTTCTTGCTGCACAGATACCAGTGTCTTTATTTACAGCCTCCAACCACTGACATCTGTATTTGTAGTACAGACAAAATGTATTTACTAAAGCAGAGCCTCCCAAGCTGCAGCTTTTGGGGGACTGGTGATACACAAACTACTTCCATAACACGTGGAGCCAGGGCTGCCTACTAGGAGATACTCAGTTGAACTGTTGAATGAGCACCCCAAATCTACTACTGGTGACCTGGGGCACTAGTGGCTTACACAGATTTCTATGCAAAGGTAGCAATTATTACTGTTAATGGTCATTAATCAGAATAGCTTTATCATATAACTCATTCAGGAGATCTTAGACTCATAAAGTAATGGCAGAAAAACTTAAATCAATATAGATTTGTGTTTAATGAGTAAAAGTCATTGCTACAAGGCCATCTTAGTATTAGACATAGTGGTAGATTAAACGATCAGGAAATGTCAGGTGAGAAAGTGCAGAAGTAAGAAATAAATTAGGAATTTCCACTGGCAAAGGTCAGCAAATCTTTCTAACCATAAGCAACCAATATATATCTGTATTGATATGTGAAGAACATAGAAAACAGATAACTCATACAGAACAAGGCAGCTTGATAGTTTTCGCATTCCTCTAACTTAAAGAAACTAAGAGAATGACAGATAACAAAAGAGTAAGGCCCATATTTCTAGTTTCTCAAGACATGCATTGATAACTTTGGCCTTGAACATAGGATTTCTTTACCAATGAACCATACATCCAGTCCCAAGCTTCAAGATAAAATGTACATAAGCATGTTATCAGAGCTCCAGATAGTCTTAGATTTTATATTGCTGCTAGATAATACGGGGCTTTTTTCACATCACACCTCCATAGCTTTGTTTTTTGACGCCAACTGTCCTTAAGGAAGTAAGGAAATATTTTTAAAATATACATTTATTTCTGAGAACCCAATTCTTCTGGTTTGGGTGCCTCAAAATGCCTCACTTCTTAGCCCATAGTCTGGAAACTTCTGTCTGACATGAGCAGGGGGAGAGGGGTTAGTTGTAACCTAGCATGTGAGGTGAGCCTGCAGGGTGGGCTGTTCTGCGGGAGGGCGCCCTCGCCCAGACATCGCCCCTCCGGTGAGTGCCGGTACCGCCGGGGATGGCGGCACTGCCCCGGGCTGCTGAGACAACCGAGCCCAGGAAACTTTTCACCGCAGCACCTGGTGGTCGGAGCATGCTCGTGCTCCCAAATGCGACTGCAGGCAGCGTTTACCTCCCATCAGAGCCTGCCAGGAGCACAACTCAGTGCTTTCCTTTCGGCGATGCCGAGGAGCAGGCCGGCCTCCAGGGGCAGAACGCGCCGGTAGCCCTGACACTGTCCCGCCATGGCTCCGGGACTCCCCGTCTCCCTCAGACATGGCCCCCCGCCGCCATCTTGTTAACGGCCCCGCTCCACGGTGAGGGGCCGGGCTGTGGGGAGCCCTCTACCCTCTACAGTGAGGGGCCGGGCTGTGGGGAGCCCTCTGCCCGCCACGGTGAGCGGCCGGGCTGTGGGGTGGCCTCTGCCCTCTACAGTGAGGGGCCGGGCTGTGGGGAGCCCTCTGCCCTTTACAGTGAGGGGCCGGGCTGTGGGGCGCCCTCTGCCCTCTACAGTGAGCGGCCGGGCTGTGGGGCGCCCTCTGCCTGCCACGGTGAGCGGCCGGGCTGTG